GAGGGCTAATAATTGTGTCTTCAGCTGTATATGGACTGACCTGCACCAGAGTTTGGAGGCAAAAGTTGCAGTGCTAGAATCCCCTGCCTCACCATACTGACCAGCCCGACGTCTGCAGTCACCATAGAAACCCCTGGCTTTCTCTGAGACACTTCCTCCACAGCATCATTGGAGAAACACTGATAGACAGAACCATTGAACTGAAGAACAAACACATAAAAAGAGTCATTTTTAGACTAATAACATGTTTTTAGACAAAGACGACGAGAGCTTAAACACACTGCAAGCTAAGAAAACATGTGCAAATAGAAAACTGCTAACAAATAGAGGAAACACCTTCATAAATTTGACGACACTTGCAAATTATCTTACAGTTCTTCATGAATAGATCTTGACAGCTCACAGTGCATTAACTAATGTTATTACATAGCTATCTGTAATACTCGATTCTGATTGGTCAGTTGCAACATTCGACGTTTCGAAGTAAGTTTTTCCAAGATAACAATCGATAAATAACACAGACTTACAGGGGAACTTCGAATCACCTTGACTGTCTGTGAATACTTTCAAATCCATATACTAACATCCACATTCATTTGTATCTGCTTGTCTGCCACACCGCGGTTTATGACTGTTTGGCACAGTCTTGTGAATGAATAATATGTAGGTTATTGTATGCTCCATTGAGCTGGTTTCTTTTCTTTCAGCTTTGCGTTTTGGACTGTTTGGCGCCATCTTGTGTCTAAATAATGCGCAGGTTAGTGTATACTCCATCAGCTGTTGTTGTTTCTGTCAGCTTTGCGTTTTGGACTGTTTGGCGCCATCTTGTGTCTGAATAATGCGCAGGTTAGTGTATACTCCATCAGCTGTTTTTGTTTCCGTCAGCTTTGCATTTTGGACTGTTTGGCGCCATCTTGTGTCTGAATAATGCGCAGGTTAGTGTATACTCCATCAGCTGTTGTTGTTTCTGTCAGCTTTGCGTTTTGGACTGTTTGGCGCCATCTTGTGTCTGAATAATGCGCAGGTTAGTGTATACTCCATCAGCTGTTGTTGTTTCTGTCAGCTTTGCGTTTTGGACTATTTGGCACCATCTTGTGTCTAAATAATGCGCAGGTTAGTGTATACTCCATCAGCTGTTGTTGTTTCTGTCAGCTTTGCGTTTTGGACTGTTTGGCACCATCTTGTGTCTAAATAATGCGCAGGTTAGTGTATACTCCATCAGCTGTTGTTGTTTCTGTCAGCTTTGCGTTTTGGACTGTTTGGCGCCATCTTGTGTCTGAATAATGCGCAGGTTAGTGTATACTCCATCAGCTGTTTTAGTGTCTGTCAGCTTTGTGTTTTTGACTGTTTGGCGCCATGTTGTGTCTGAATAATGCGCAGGTTAGTGTATACTCCATCAGCTGTTTTAGTTTCTTTTGTGTTTTTGACTGTTTGTGTCCATCTAGTGTCTGAATAATGCACAGGTTAGTGTATACTCCATCAGCTGTTTTAGTTTCTTTTGTGTTTTTGACTGTTTGTGTCCATCTAGTGTCTGAATAATGCACAGGTTAGTGTATACTCCATCAGCTGTTTTAGTTTTCTTTTGTGTTTTGGACTGTTTGGCACCATCTTGTGTCTAAATAATGCGCAGGTTAGTGTATACTCCATCAGCTGTTTTAGTTTCTGTTGTGTTTTTGACTGTTTGGCGCCATCTTGTGTCTGAATAATGCGCAGGTTAGTGTATACTCCATCACCTGTTTTAGTTTCTGTTGTGTTTTTGACTGTATGGCGCCATCTTGTGTCTGAATAATGCGCAGGTTAGTGTATACTCCATCACCTGTTTTAGTTTCTGTTGTGTTTTTGACTGTTTGGCGCCATCTTGTGTCTGAATAATGCGCAGGTTAGTGTATACTCCATC